AAACAAACAAGCAAACAAACTGACAGATTAAAAAAAAGCTGTCGTCTCTATTTCCGTAGTGCCCTATTATAGGCTGCCCTAGCTAGGCCTCCTCAGCCTAGAAAGGGCCTCGGTGGGGCCGGATAAGAACGATTATCCACGCTATTTTCTCTCTCTTTGTCCTTGAAAGAAAACAATAAAGTGACCTATTATGATGCAGGCTAGTTTGTCTGTTGATTACGTCAGTGTCGTGCTTGATGTCACAGTGTCCTCCTGCACGATGGTTTAAATAGTTAGTCGAGTAATTAATTGAAGTGTGCTTTGTTATTTATTGTAGCTTTAATAGTGTCAATAGTTTATGATAAGAGTCGAGACTGTCTGAGTTGGACACCCACTTGTCGAGGAGAAAAGTGGTTGTCTTAGAAAGGTGGACGTCTTGGATAGTATCATTATTATGTTAGAAAACACACAAAAGGAAGGACGGTGGGGTTAATCGGAATTTGTTGCCTCTAGGCCTATAGCAGCGCAACCCCAACGCTGGTGCCGCCTACAAAAGAGTTATTATTTCGTTACTTTTCCTACAGAGTTGTTTATAAACAATTCAACTTTTGAATGGACAAGATGGCGACCCCCATCAGCTAAATGTCCGCGGTGCGAGAAGCGCAAGACCTTGCTGTTGTTGTGTTTGTTATGGTCGCTTTGCCAGTAGTGAATAAACCTCTTGCCTACAAGTATACTAGATCTAGATCTAATTCTAGATCCCAATCACTAAGGACTTATATTGTATGCCCACACACTGAGCTGCAACAACAATGGAATCAAAATGCCGCAAACTCATCAAAGATGTCAAGACCAGATTCGACAGTGCAGAGACCAAGGAAGAAATCCTGAAGTGGTCATCAATCATTCGAAGTTTGCTGTCAGTACATGCGTCTTGTTCTGAAAACAAACTGTTGGACGCCCTTGAATATGATGAACATGAACTGTTTGAGCTGCGAAAGACAATTTCGTCTTCGCCTTTCTTTGCTCAACAGCTGTATGGGCTTTTCATTCAAAAGTTCTCAGTTGATTGGATGTCAAGCATCACTACAGAGAATTTTCACAAGATTGTGAAGGCAGCTTTTTTAGATGGACCTGTCTCAGATGCCTTCCTCTGTCTGTCTCAAGCTATTACAGAATCCAGCACGTATGAATTTTATATTTGGGCTTATTTTTTAACGAAATTCAAGAAGGTTGATGCTACTTTTTATTCCATTGTAGTTGCAAGTGATGTGTGTAGGCCTGACATTGACTGTCTTTCACTAATTTTGATTCACCGCCATATCATTAGAATTCAGGCTACCAACATGAAGCACTCGGAGGTGTTGCAATCGGTAACGAACTAGATCTAGAGGTACTGGGGAGGGGTTGATAGTTTTAGATCTTGAGGTAATTTCGCAAAAGTTTGTGCATTGTTTGTTTAGGTGAATGGAAGTGTTGGGATGAACGGACGAACAGGTCTGTTATCCAGGGATACAGTCAGAGCAAGTCAAGCTATATATATGAATGGACTGCGAACGTCAAGACATTTGCTTTAGGTCCGTTGCACTTGTAATTTTATTCACTCAGCAAGCGGGTGAACAGATGTGAACAGATGAACTCTAGCAGAAACCTTTAAAACAGAGGTTAGGCCCCTGGTCTATTGTTTATAATTGTTTCAAGTCACCCTCTTTATAAAGGGATTCTGAATTTGTGATCTGGGTCTACTTGAGGTTAAATTAGTTCATGACCAGATGAAATTGCAGGGATCTGCTGCTTTTTTCCCCCTTAAATACCTGGGAGAGTTTTTAATGGCTGGGAGAAAATTACCACACCATATTCTTTTTTTAGAAATGTTTGCATGATTATTTACATGGTTAAAGCATGCTTTTTTGCTTCTTCTTTCTGTTTTCATCAGGAAAGATTTCCGCTTCCACACATGCGTGTCTTTGCTAGAAGGAATGGTCAATCCTGAGAGGCTGGCAGAGGTACTGTTAACACACTGTCGAACCCGCACTACCGGCAACGTAAATTCTGCGGGATTTGCTTTTGATGTCCATGAATCAGAGATGCTTGTGTCTGCACTGGCCTCCTTGCCTGAGAGAATGGCAAACAGGCTGCGTCATGACAACAGGTTTGTGCTTGTGTGGATTTTTTTTCAGGTTTTTTTAATTGAGATTGTTGTTTGCAGCAGGCAGTGGGTGAGTTTCAGTTTGACAGATTAATTCAATGCAGAGAGATTTTTCTTAGCATCATGTCATTATTTGACAATATTGATCTGTCTTTCTGTCTTTTCCGAATCATCTTTAAAAGTGTATTTTGACCAGGTTTATCTTTTCACTATTCAATACTGTCCTTTTCCATAATGTTTACTAAATAAAACAACCAACCCCCAACCCCCACCCCCCAACAACAACAACGACAAAAATGCAACAAAAAAATCAAAGCAATCCCGCAGGCCTTTCATGAAATGCTCTTTGAAACTTTGAAACTGCTACAAATATTTGAATGAAAGGATGAGAGTAGTCACATATTAAAGTATCATGCTATTATTGGCTCATCACTTCTTTCATTACAATATTTCTAAGCTTTATTATGTTTCTATTATGTTTGATTTCCACAGTGAGAGCTTTTACCCAAGTCACTACACTCCTGTATTGTCCATGGCCGTGCTGCGAGTGTTAGATGACGGCCACGCTGCACTGACCGGAGGGCGGGATGTGTCTCTGCAGGTGGTCAGTGCTCTGGTAGGAAAGCTCTGCCTCACAGGAGCTGGTGGTGAGTTCTGAAATTTTTCAATAACATTGAATGTTTTTACATGTCTCCTTGACATGAAATATGAAATGACGCATATAAGCTCTTAAAAGGAAGAGGCAGACGGATATACATGGCATCGGCAGTCTTGTGGTTAGGCTACCAGACTCATAATTGTGAGGTTGCGAGTTCGGGGGTTTGAGCCTCAGGGCTGACATTGTGTCCTTGCTAAAGGCACTTTACATGAATTTTCCTCTTCGCTGAAGAAAGAAAATGTACCTTGCCATAGACAGCGAAAGATCTTGTCAGTATGTTAGTTTTCTAGAGCCCATTAAGAATGTCAGCTTGCTCGGTATTCTTCCTGGGAAGTTGAGATAGTTTCAAAATGCTACCAGGTCTGCTGGGGTAATAGTATAGATTGTAAGGCTCATACCAAAAGCTATCTATTATTAAATTTTTATTAATTATATGTCCAACCAGCATCAGACCAAAGACAGTGTTGTGGCACATTTGGAATCATCATACACAAGTCAGGAACAAGGATTTGTGTTTTACACTGCATGCAATCTGTTACCTGCCTTTTAAAGTTTAAGATAAAGAACACAAAACTGGCACATTGGTATGAAGAATGAATTTATGCTCTGTGTGCAGAGAAATATGAAAAATATGACGTTAACTCGGGATCCTGTGTAATTATTTCTTCACAGAGATATACTGTTACTAGCACACAAGAGAATTCTCATTTTACTCGCTTTTCCTCACTTGTGCTCACATTTTTTTCGTCTTGCATCGTTTCAGATCTGTTTCTGGACACCATTTTGCCTCACCTTTGTGCCAACGTGAGAAAAAATTTTGCCTGGTCGCGAATCTGTGTGAGAGTGTTTGTGGGAGTTCCGTCTCGATGCCTGGAGGCTGTCCTTGTGCTACTGCTGCAGAAAATTCCCTGGTAGATAAATCCTTTTCTTTCTCTATAAAGTTTATTATACTCAAGTTCATTTGAAAAGTTGCTTTTTTGGGGTCCTGTTGTATGGATGTGAGGCATGGAACGCATCACAGACTTGTATAAAGAGGATCCAGGTTTTCTTGAACAGGTGTCTAAGAAAGTTACTGAGGATCAGATGGACAGACAGGGTCACCGATGTGGAAGTGTAAGAAAAACAAGACAAATCCCAGTCAGAGATGAGATGGGAAGAAGGCGGTGGCGATGGA